TCCAGATTTCAGACACCCTTAAGATCAAGCTCAAAACCTACCTCTATGAAAAGGCTTCCCTGAGGGCATCAGCCTGGATGGATTTTTTCTCTTGTGAGCTTATAGCTTATTTACATCCCAGAGACCCCTGTCTCTGTTACATATAATTCTTTATCACTGTTGCTTCACCAATGTCCCTTTTGTGTTTTCAACCACATTGGAAACTCCCTGTGGGACCATGTTTTAACTACTTCCTAGTATAGTGCTGGGCTTATAGTAGGTGCTTATTAAATAGGACTGTGAGACTTTCCTCATGGGGGCCTCCTGTGCAACAGCTGCCGACAGTAGCCTCCTTGGTAGTGTATGCAGCCTGTTGCTTGTATGAGTTGCTCTAAGGGACCTTGGAGACAGTCCTTTCTGATACCTGTTCATGTGTTAGACCTTGTGCTGTCCCCAATCTAGGCTACAGATAGGTATATGCGGTACCTTTGGAAAGCCCCAGGGCACTGTGGCCAGGGTTCACATGGTTCACATCAACCAAGTCATCATGATAATCTGCACCAAACTACAGAACATGGAGCATGTGATTAAAGCCCTTTGCAAGGCCAAGTTCAAGTTCCCTGGCCACCAGAAGATTCACATCTCCAAGAACGGCTTTACCAAGTTTAATGAAGATGAATTTGAAGACATGGTGGCTAAGAAGCAGCTCATCCCACATGGCTGTGGGGTCAAATACATCCCTAATTGTGGCCCCTAGACAAGTGGCAGGCCCTGCACCCATGAGGACGTACACTGTGCTGCCTATCATTTGCAATTATCAATAATAAATCCTACTTCCTGTCCAAAAGAAAAAGAAAAATAGCACTTGGGTAGGGCATTGGCCACATACACCTGAGGCTGGCATGTTTGAACCCAGCCTAAGTCAGCTAAACAACAATGACAACTGCAACAAAAAATAGCCAGGTGTTGTGGCAGGCACTGTAGTCCCAGCTACTGGGGGGCTCAGGCAAAAGAATCAGTTAAGCCCAAGAGTTGGAGGTTGCTGTGAGCTGTGACGCCACAGCACTCTACTGAGGGTGATATAAGGAGACTTTGTTTCAAAAAAAAAAAAAATATATTACTGTGAGAGCTGTAGCTGCTGATTTTCCTGATGTGATTGTCTGACATTATAAGTTGGATAACATTAGTTCAAGCTAGTTTCGGCCTGTGTTTGAGAATTTCCCTCCATATTTGGCTTCCCACCATAGTTTTTCTTTTAAGTAAGTAAAAAAGGATCCAAAGCTATACCCAAGGTTATTAAAGTTCATAAATTTAGATAATAAATATGAATTGTGAGCTAAAGTATAAATTTATACTGGTCAGCAGGTGTCAGCCACAATATCATGATTTATTAAACTGGACTCTCCAAGTAAAATGAAGCGGTTGATTCAGTACAGTAGCAACTAAACCCCATCTTTTCTGCTTGGGTCTCAGGAGGAAAAAAGCATGTCTTCATCTCCATTTGACTTGATATGACAGCTAATGGTTGATGACCCTTGGTGGCAGACAGATGGGGACCAGGAGGCTGTGTCTGATTCCCGACTTTGGACTGCAGCTCCTTAGGACTAAAGAGGAGGTCCCGCTGCCCTGTGCTGGATGACAACAGCATCACCATCATCACAGCTGGTGGGACTGTGCACAGTGCTCAGATAACGTGCACTAGGTCTCATTACAATGGGTGATACCTAACACATTGTAAGTACTCAATAAATATTAACTATCATAAAAAAAGGATGGGTTTGGTTTACCTGTAGTAAAATTTACCTGAGAGAAATAGCAAGGCCTGCCATGGTTTTAGAAAATTCCTACTGAAGCTGGCAAAACTACTGTCACTCTGGAGTAGCCATTCTCAACCTGTGGGTCGTGACCCCTTTGGAGGTGGAACGACCCTTTCACAGGAGTCGCCTAAATACATCCTGCATATCAGATATTTACATTACAATTCATAACAGTAGCAACATTACAGTTATGAAGTAGCAACAAAAATAATTTTATGGTTGGGAGTCACTGCAACATGAGGAACTGTATTAAAGGGTCACGGCATTAGAAAGGTTGAGAACCACTGCTCTGGAGTCTTTGTACGTGGCCTTCACATTTTCAGTAGAGATGTCCGTATAGGACAAGTAGGACTTTGGCTGTGTGAGGACTTTGAAATGACAGGTCAGTGTATTCATTTTCCCAAAGTACTTTAGTTTGGCAATTCCTCTGTCACTAAAAGAAGATTAACACTTACATGATAAGAAAGTTAGATCAACAAAGACCTGCGATCCAGGAGATAGGATCAGATAGAAAGTCACTTAAAGGGGCTGGACATATCGCAAGGCTGACTTCCAACAGAAGGCTTGCTGATGACTCAGTTTATCTGTAAAAGACAAATCAAGCAGAAGCTAATAGTGAAAGAAATGGATTAATAGTGTTAAAGATGAGATAGGAAGGGAAGGCATTGAAGGGAGAGATTGTCATGGTCACTAAGAATGAGAAAGACCCCAGCCTGAATAATCACACCCCGTCATTGGTTGATGTGCTGCTGATGGGAAAAGATTCAAAAGAAAAAGAACGAAGAAGTCAAAGGAAAGACAAGTCTCCATCTTTCTGGCTTTCGATCGTTCCTTGGCCAAATGTGGGAGTTGAACTAGATGACCTCTGTGACTTCTTCCAGAGTTGCCATAGAATTTGCAAAATTCCAGCACAGAAGAAAAATCCAGGGCTGGAGTTGTTATAAATGCACATGCACAGAGCATCTAGTCATGCACAAACATCACAGCTACTTATGATTTTACTCAGTTATTAGATTTTCATCTCATAGCCTTTGTGTGTCAGTGACCCTTAGGCCGTGTTTCTGCCCTGCTTTCCTCCTCAGCACTTGTGATTTTAATCAATAGGGGTCACAGGCTGCAAGACCTTTCCCACATGGGTCATTTTTCATTGCCCGTTTGTCTCACTGTAGTTGTTAGAGAGTAAATCCCACAAACGAAGGAAGATGGTGCGGTTGTCGTTAGAGGCAGCCGGGAAGCGGGAAAGGCAGGGAGACCGGCTGTTTGGCAGCCAGGTTGGAGGAAGAGCGCCTTGGGAGGAAGCTGGGTGTTGTTAACCACCAGAAGGGAAGAAAGCACGCTCTGTTTGGGGATATAAGAATAAAAAAGAAAATAGGACATGGACCACTGGTCCGGTGTGCAGCAGAGTTTGGGAGCTGAGGCCTGTGTGTAATGTGACAGTATAAAAGAGTTCATTGTAAGCTTTAAAAATATCCCAAGAAGAATTGCCTTTGACAGTTTGGGGAGCGCCCATCCATCAGAGACTAATGTTCTCTGGATTTGCCTTGTTTTGCTTTGTTTCTGACACACTCAGAAAGTTTAGTTTTTCCTGTATGTGGATTGACCATTCAACCTTTGGATGCTGGAAATTTTTTGCCTCTAATTTTCTATTCCTTTTTTTTTTTGCAGAGACTGTGGGTGAGGGTGGGGTCTCCATATGTTGCTTAAGCTGGTCTCAAACTCTTGGTCTCAAGTGATCCTCCTTCCTTGGCCTCCCAAAGTGCTAGGACTATAGGAATGAGCCACCATGTCTGACCTAATTTTCTATTTCTTTGAACTCATTTCTGCTTAAAGATGTCTATTTCTTTTTAAAAAAAATCCTAGATATTGCAGTTCTATAGGGGACAGAAGGACCAGGCTGAGTCACCGGGGTAATTTACCAACCTGATGAAGACAAAGGGAAAGAGGAGAGGCATCCAGTACATGTTCTCTAGGCCTTTTAGAAAGCATGGAGTTGTTTAGCCACATCTATTGGACTCATGCCACACAAATGTCACCATGACAAAACTGAAAGAGTCCACAATGTCACCCAGCCTGCTGCTGGCATTGTTGAAAACAAACAAGTTAAGGGCAAGATTCTTGCCAGGAGGATTAATGTTCGTATTGAGCATATTAAGCACTTTATGAGTCGAGATAGCTGCCTGAAACGTGTGAAGGAAAATGATCAGAAGAAGAAGGAAGCCAAAGAGAAAGGTACCTGGGTTCAACTGAAGCGCCAGCCTGCTCCACTCAGAGAAGCACATTTTGTGAGAACCAATGGAAAGGAGCCTGAGCTCCGGGGACCCATTCCCTGTGAAGTCATGGCATAACAGGCGTACAGCGTAGCACATAAGAGAACAAAGAGAACAGTTGAACAGGCGCATAGGGTGCTGGAATCCATTCCCCATGAACTCAGGCCATGATAGGCACAGCAAGCTTTGTCACAGTCAATGGAAAGGCCCCTCCCTGAGCTGCTGGGACCTTTTCCCTGTGGATTCATAGGGCATAATACATGTAAAAAATACAAAGCTACTGTAAAAAAAAAAAGTCTTAAGATAAAATATTTGTAAATTCGGTGCACTCAAAAACTAAAAAGGAAATGTTTCAATATCCTATTGTACAAATGTCATGGCTGAAACAACACAAGTTTGTTATCTCATGGTTCTGTGGGTCAGAAGTCTGATGTGGGTCTCACTGGGTAAAATCAAAGTGTTGGGAGGGCCACACTCCATTCTGCAGCCTCCAAGATGACAATCCTTCCCTTGCCTTTTCCTGTTCCTGGAGGCTGCCTGCTCCTGGGCTTGTTCCCTCCCTCCATCTTCAAAGACAGAAACTTTGCGTCTCTTTGATTCTTTTCTGTCTGTCCTCACATCCCTTTGACCTTAGCCAAAACAATTCTCTAGAGAAACACAGTAGATGGAAAGGAATCTCAGAATAGGCCTGGAAAGTAGAACAGATAGTTATTCTACATATAACACCTGGGGGAGGGGTTGTAATTTGTCAATTCCAAATAGCTTCTTTGTATAATCCGTATTTCTGTATTAAAAATGTGTTAATAAAAGTTTAATCATGATATAAGCAATTCTTTTATTTTCAAATTATTTAAGTCTGAAATTGTACTATCCCTAGCACATTAGGGTGTTTGGGGAAGAAGGAATAAGTCTTTGACAATATTCTCTATTACTTCCATACTTATTGGTCTGTGTATTAAGATTTGAGTCTTGGCTCAGCACCTGCGGCTCAAGCAGCTAAGGCGCCAGCCACATACACCTGAGCTGCAGGATTCGAATCCAGCCTGGGCCTGCCAAACAACTATGACAGCTGCAACCAAAAAATAGCTGAGCGTTATGATGGGTGCCTGTAGTCCTGGCTACTTGGGAGGCAGAGGCAGGAGAATTGCTTGAGCCCAGGAGTTGGAGGTTGCTGTGAGCTGTGATGCCACAGCCCTCAACCCAGGGTGACAGCTTGAGGCTCTGTCTCAAAAAAAAAAAAAAAAAAAAGATTTGAGTCTTATTTTTGTTTATTTCTATTATCTTAGAAATTACTGTTGAAAAAAATTCTAAAGAAGTTTTGGGCCTGGT